GTCTAAATAAAAGCAGTCAGCAGGCAAAGCCACGAAAGGCATTCGTTCGTCATTCAAGTTTTGTTAACATACCTCAGATGAGCAGTCACAGATCTCAACCGGCTGCGTTCTATCCGCATACAAGATCTGTGAAATCTAGACGTCGTATTAGGATGTTTTCGATATCAACTACGCAAGTAGTAATTGTTGTTGGACGAAGAAATCACTTACCAATCCAGGGCCAGCACAGGGGTTAACTGCTGCCACCAGAGGGACTGCAGCAAGTAGCAAGGAGAAAGGCAGGAAAGAATACATGCTTGCAGGGATGAAATAGTGATTTGGCTTGAATGATGTGACAGAAGGTTCGGGTCTGATGAGGAAATGGGGTAATCGCAACGAATTTATATTTCAGTGAATCGTCCACATAGGAGAAATAGATGAACGTTAGAGTCGGTATCTTTCTGAGATCGCCATGTGATTTGCTAGCAGTACTGGGTGGAGCTCTGTAGATTCTGCAGGCGATCGTTCGCTTACACAGAGGTAGATATACTATAATTACAGCCCCTAGAAAATGTTTCGATAGTCTCGGATCTGGTGAGATAGGCATACATAGTGGCAGCCTAGCGTATCGATGATCAACTCACGGAAAAAGATTCCACATCCCCAGAAGAGTCTGAACGTAAGGGTAAATGGGAGAGAATAAGATAAACCTTACTGGGGCAGAACTCTCTAGATCAAGACAGAACGCAAGGTATTTAAGTCAATGAGCTACGCCGTTCCTTTCTCACATTGGTAGAAACAATAACATTCATATTACTCCTGAGTTTGTAAGCTACTACGAGTCAGCCGACGCTTTATACCTAAAGCCTACAGTCTGAAACTACTACGTACTCATAATGCGACTCAGCTTTAAAATTATTGCTGTTGCCTTGCGAGGCACAGCTCAAGCGCCTAGCTACAGATCGGCGGGCTAACCTTGTAGCAATAATGAATGCGAAACCAACTGTGCAAATCCTACTTACCACATCGCTATTTCAGGCAACTCATTATATTTCACTTGCACTTTTGATAGGAATGCGCAGTACGGTGTTAGCGTATGTACGTTGCCCGAAAGCTTACAGCAATGTAACGATCCCTAGGGTCACAACTGAGTAGAGTCTGAAGCTACAGCAGGCACGGTGTTCGTATATCCGCATGCCAACCGCAATCACTTCATGCGCGCCTGGAGGGAAATCGGCAGAAATTCTTGCATTCAGGATACTCTTTCTTACGAAGCACCCATATCGAACTGTAGGACAAAGCCTGGGCAGTGTGACAATCCATGCCTTCGACATTGATCTAAACAGCCCCTCAGAGTCTCTAGAGTCGAGACAATATATAAAACAGAGAATGACTTGGAAAGATTGCCATCCCATGTATCGGAAGCTTTGTTTAGGGCCAGGTTACCCATATGTTATCTCGTCCGGGAGGATGCGCTGGCTATGCCATCAAAGGCGGAGGCGTATGCCCGACGTATTTAAGGCGATTGGCGAACTTCGGTGGGATTCAGATGCAGAGTTGCTGATCTCATGCTGTCTAAACACTATACTCAGACCTGCATGCCGAATAGAGCTAAACCCCTGAGTGGTACTTAGAATGCCCTACGCGTGATTACCATCATAATCATTCCTATCATTTGGGCTTGTGAATCAACATTCTGGGGACAGGGATTCACTCTCCTGTAGAATAATCATCAGTTTTCATGGTAATCTAGCTACTTGTTCCGAACATCACGTGCAAATTTGTATCTGGCTATATATATTCATACATCAAAGAGCAAAGAAAAATATACCAGGGCAGCGTCACGATAAAACCAATTGATCCACCACAGCCTATGGGCCTTGGGTTAAATAGCGCACAATAGTTGCTCAAGTATTCTAGCTCATCGTCAACTTGACTAGGATGTATTGGAGCATGAGGTACAACCATTCTTTGCCATTCAACATAACCTTACACTGAAGCCATTGCTTTGTAAGCCGTTATGGCTTTTCTCATCACTGTGCAACGTAAAGTATGTAGAAGGTGATGGTAATATACCTATATGCTCAACCAGTTGATTACGAATAATATATCACCTCTATTAACTCAAATTACAGTTTCTAAGACTACTTGGTCACACCGGCTCGTTACCCGAATCCTGAAAGGATCAACCCCCATGTCACTCAAGCCAGGTGTCCTATCCATGGGGAGCCTGCCATCCAGACAAGGGAGTACCGTATGAAACTGTTCAATAGCGAGAGATGGCTGATTGACGGAGAAACAGAATATTTCTAGTCAAGCTGATAGTGTCCTCTGACCAACCAAATAGACATATTGATCAACCACAGCCATTCGCCGAAGACGAGTTGGTTCAACCAGAAAGGCGTCAATGCAAGGCGATTGTCGGTTTTACGACACGATGTAGCGCACCTATATCGGAGGCACCAACTCCTACTCTCGGCGTTTCCCCGTCTCCAGTGGGCCGTGTAGGCCTAAGATCAACAAGCATGACAGCGTCCAAAGTAGTCTGGGCCAGCAGCGCGGCCGAGGATCCCCGCCATGGGTGGGCTTCTGAGCATATTTTCCGTCACTGAGCTCCACAATAAGCGCGATATGATTGATCGTTTCAGCTTATGCATTTTTCACCATGCGTTTGGGCATGGGCTACCCCTCCACCGCGGAGATAGGAGCCGGTCCTGCTCTAAATCATGTGAACGAAGCGGACAGAACTGAGGCTGAAGAGAGGCTGAGGGACGCATACCACTAAAACTGTCCTTTTGAGATGTTATATCTTCTCTCAGTTGGAAGTTTGCTAGGTGTAGCCTTGACAGGGTATGAAAGGCGAGAGCCATGGTTAGAATGAACGTGGGATTATTGGTGAATACAAAAAGACACATACGATGGAAAGGAATGAATCCAAGGACCGTGACAAGCCGAGGACACCAGTGTAATCAGCGCCAGCCGCAGTGAGCCCATCGTATACACTAGCTCGCACTCCTACTGATGAGCATACAGGAACACCATTGTGCCCAATCATTGTGCATGGTTTGCTACGGTCTCTTCTGTCGGCATACGTAGGGGCGAACAGCACCGCTTGAGATCACCATTTGCAGCCGCTAAACTCCTCGGCGGTCCCTCAATCTCGGTCTGGACTTATCTAGTGACATCAAGCGTACAGGATCACAATCACAATCTAAGCTTTATTTGCCACAGTCCTTCAGCCCGAATTCCGTGTCTGTGGGGACGTAGTACATTGTGTTAAGGTCAACTTATACTCACGTCATAGACGGAAGGTTTTGCATTTTTAACCAGGAATCAATACTCCCTAACCACCTCCATGCGCCAGTGTCGGTATATTATATTTGACTGAGTGCTTGACAGAATATCTCACCAGGGAACCCCTCAATACCCCACGTTTGGATATTTGCCGCCCCTCATCATGATAGATCAGATTGCTGATGTGTCCCTTCCATTGGTACATGCGTGTCGTCGGGACGATTGACCGGAGCCCTTGCTTGCGTGGTCGTGGCAGGAATGCCCCCAATCCGCAGTGGGTCAAAACTTTTCGGGCTTGCAGGATCGATTGTAAGAGGTTGGTGATTCTGTGGGTCTACGTCGACTTTGAATGCGCAGATTATCTTTAAAGTGGGCCTGTTGATAAATCTTGAACAACCGATGGCTGCGGGGACCCCAAGGTTCTTCGCTAAGGAAGTAAGTTCCGCAATGCTTGTCCAGTATCTGGTGACAGATCATCCAGCCTTGCTCTTTTGTCCATTAGTGACGTGGTTCCCCACGATGGCAGAATACCACTTGTTGTGGGCAGTTTCGAGGTTACCGCGGCTAAAGTATCGTGAGGGGTTTAGCAAACCTGTGAAATTGGTGAGGAGGTTATTCATGGTATGCTTAATTTACTGACTCTAATCCCAGATCCGCCGAAGGTGGCCAAGGGTGAGCCAATGATACAACCCCGTGCGTGTGGCAGCGGGGCTGGTAGAGTCTTTACTTAGTACACGTTGGAAAATGGAGCCATTGAACTCATGATTTCATACAATTAAACTCTCTCCAGGCCCACCTCTCTTCTGATACTGTTCTTGGCTTTTGATAGGGTTGGCTCCTCGCGGAAGCTTGGTTCCTAGGACCTGGTGAACCTAATTTCGCAGCTCACTGCCTTTATCAGATTAATCCTTCTCCATATGTACTTGTCAAACCGGCCTTACCGATTCGCCCATGGTCCAGAGCAGCTTTTTCTAAAAACCTGCCTAAAGCTATGGCTGCTGCCGATATTGCATCGTATATCGGCCGCGCTGCCTGTGATCACAACAACTGTAGAAGTCATGGAGCCATAGAGTTCGAAAATACCTATGTGGCCGAGCTACGTGATAGGTGGCGAGAACCATACACTTACAATCCAAATTATCTGAGTTTGATCGCCAACGTCACTCATACGTATCGTATATCCTGCAGATGTTCCAGTCGAGTATAACTACAAAACCCCTCTTATCCGCTCGCCCCTGGACAGGGTAGCCTAACCAGCGTAGAGCGCTTATCAGATCCCTGATGATCTTAACTGATAATCTCGAGAGCATGTAAAAAGTAGTAGTACCCTTTAGGGAAGTAGTACTGGACCAATAATTGCTAGCAAAAGTGCGGTATGCGGGTCTGAAGTCTCGACCCGTCGAGGCTCCACTCCGCTTTAACTTCCACGCACCCAAGGTTGGTTCCGTCTGTAGCATTGTATACAACTGCAATAGCAAGAGAGCATACACAATTCGACCCTGTAGCAGCCCGCTCTACTGGAACCGTGATGCTATCATGATTCATGACTCGTCTGGTATTGAGATTGACATACGCTCATCCTCCAGAGCTACCATGCGGGGAAAAGGAGGAAGAAGTCTATAAAAGGGACCAGGCTTTCCGCTGAATGAAGGTAGTTTTTCTACTCATCAGACAAGATCCATTGACTCCAACACTTTTCTTGATATTTTTCTTCTGATCCTGCGGCCATGGCTACCGACGGATCTCACTTCGACTTCGTGATTGTCGGCGGCGGTACTGCGGGTAACACCGTGGCCGGTCGTCTGGCTGAAAACCCCAATGTCACCGTATTGATCGTCGAGGCGGGTATTGGGAACCCTGAGGATATCCCTGAGATTATTACCCCATCCTCTGCCATGGACCTTCGTAACAGTCAGTACGACTGGGCCTATAAAACCACCATGGTGAGGCGCGATGACTACGAACGTATCGAGAAGCCGAATACACGTGGAAAGACCCTTGGTGGCAGCTCGTCCCTTAATTACTTTACATGGGTTCCAGGCCACAAAGCTACCTTTGATCAATGGGAGGAATTTGGCGGGAAGGAGTGGACCTGGGATCCCCTTGTACCTTACCTTCGCAAGAGTGCTACCTACCATGATGACCCCAAGCTCTACTCGCCTGAGCTTCAGAAGATTGGTGGTGGCGGCCCTATCCCCATCTCTCACGCTGAGTTGATCGATGAAATGGCACCCTTCCGTGACAACCTCACCAAGGCTTGGAAGTCCATGGGCCAGCCATTGATTGAAAACATCTATGATGGTGAGATGGACGGTCTCACCCACTGCTGTGACACAATCTACAGAGGCAAGCGGTCTGGCAGTTTCCTGTTTGTCAAGAACAAGCCCAACATCACAATCGTGCCCGAGGTCCATTCCAAACGCCTTATCATCAATGAGGCCGATCGCACCTGCAAGGGTGTAACTGTCATTACCGCCGCTGGTAACGAGCTGAACTTCTACGCGGACCGTGAAGTTATCCTTTCCCAAGGTGTCTTCGAGACCCCCAAGCTACTTATGCTGAGCGGTATCGGTCCCACCCGTGAACTCTCCAGACACGGTATCAATACTATCGTGGACTCCCGCCACGTCGGCCAGAACCTGATGGACCACCCCGGTGTTCCCTTCGTCCTGCGCGTCAAGGACGGCTTCGGTATGGACGACGTTCTCCTGCGCAACGGTCCTAAGAAGGAAGCCGTCGTTGCCGCTTATAACAAGAACCGCTCCGGCCCTGTTGGCTCAGGTCTCCTCGAGCTGGTGGGATTCCCCCGTATCGACAAGTACCTCGAGAAAGACGCCGAATACCGCAAGGCGAAAGCTGCGAACGGAGGCAAGGACCCATTCTCACCCTTGGGCCAACCGCACTTCGAGCTCGACTTTGTGTGCATGTTCGGTACCGCCTTCCAATGGCACTTCCCGACCCCCAAGACAGGCGATCACATTACCGTGGTCGTTGACCTGGTCCGTCCGGTCTCCGACCCTGGTGAGGTGACGCTCAACAGCGCCGACCCCTTCCAGCAGCCGAACATCAACCTGAACTTCTTCGCCAGCGACCTTGACATCATCGCCATGCGCGAGGGTATCAGATTCAGCTACGACCTGCTGCTCAAGGGCGAGGGCTTCAAGGACCTCGTGGAGAGCGAGTACCCATGGGAGATGCCCCTCGACTCCGACAAGGAGATGCACAGAGCCGTGCTCGACCGCTGCCAGACTGCCTTCCACCCAACTGGTACTGCCCGTCTTTCGAAGAATATCGACCAAGGTGTGGTGGACCCCAAGCTCAAGGTCCACGGCATCAAGAAGCTGCGTGTCGCTGACGCTTCGGTTATCCCGATTATTCCTGACTGCCGTATTCAGAACTCTGTCTACGCTGTGGGTGAGAAGTGTGCCGATATGATCAAGGCTGACCACAAGGATCTCTACTAATGATGGAATGAAATGATGTAATGTGCCTCAATGATGTTGTGAAACCTAACTTGACAAAAGTTGGCAGATTGTGTCCACAACTTTCAAGGAATTAGTACATAGTTTAGGTAGTTTATGAAATGATGATTGAAGGCTTATGAAACATTGTCCTCAATGGTAGTGGCCTATAGTGACGACGCCTTTTCTACCTTAGTATTGTGAAGTCGCTTGGCGAGCATCCGAAACATCACCGAGCTAGAACTACAAGGAAAGAGATAACACAAAGATAAACTGCACCAGGATGCCATCTAGTCAAATCGCGCATGGCGTGAGCCTCCTTGCGACCCAGAGCACCCAAAAGTATAAATATCAGATCCGGTAGCCTTCGGACAACAGCGTGGCACGGACCAAGTTTACAAGCCCAATCTGCCCGGGACAACGCAGATGAAATGGCACCACGACAAAGACACACCATAACAAACCCACACGAGCCTCCACCCCAAATTCTCCGGCGGAACACCAAGCCAGTGCACTGACACCAACCCGCACGACAAGACGACGGAAAAACTAGCCCCGCAACCTCGGGGTAACAGTAACCGATGGCGTCTTGGCTCTCCGTATATTACCAAACAATGTTAGATTAAATCCCAGCGCCCAGGGCCGAATCACCATCAATTGGCAAAAATGTTGGGAATCAAGGCATTGTCGCTCCTGCTGTGCGGCGCAGTTGCGCAGAGCAAATACATCGTTCCCGGGGGCCGGTGGCTCGACACGCATGGTAACCTGGCGAATGCGCATGCGGGATGCATTACCTTTGACGAGGAAACGGGGCGATTCTGGTGGTACGGAGAATACAAGACTGAAGGACAGGAGGAGGGTGGGGGAGTCTCGGTGTATAGCTCTGAGGATTTGGCGACGTGGGAATCGCATGGGTTGGCGTTGGGTATGGGTGAAAGTCATTTTCTGGTGAGATGGGGTGCTGATGGTCGTTTTGCATAGAGCCAGTGAAGAACCATTCGTATATTTCCCCGGAGAATGTTATCCAGCGACCCAAGGTTGTGTATAGCGAGGAGGCTGGGCAGTACCATGTGAGTGAGTACCTTCGGCTGTTAGATGTGTCTGCTAATGTCGTCGCAGATGTTCTGGCATGCGGATAATTCTTCCTATGGATTGTTGCTACAGGGCCTAGCTACGTCGGATACCCCCGCCGGTCCCTATACCTTTGTCAATGTCTCGGCGCCGATGGGTAATTGGTCGCAGGATTATGGGTTGTTTACGGATTATAAGGATGGACGATCGTATGCTCTTTACTCTAACGGAGATAGCCAGGAGGGTCGCGATGTCTATGTTACTCGGTACAACGAGGAGGTCTCAGAGCTGGAAGAGGTGATCTATCGATTCGACAAGTTCGATCTCGAGGCGCCTACCATCATCCAAACGGATGACAGTTATTACGCGTTGATGAGCCATAAGACTGGCTACAGACCGAACAGTGAGTGTGATTGCCCTTTTCATCGACTGGAGCTAACTAGACAGATGTCGTTGCGTTCCGGGCTGATTCGCTGGAGGGCCCTTGGTCCCAGCCGTTCATAGTGGCGCCCCTGAACACGCGCACATTCAACTCTCAGTCCGGGTATTCATTGAAGATTAAGGGTTCGAAGAAGACTACATATCTCTACATTGGTGACCAGGTACGGTGGTATTAGTGTGTTTACCCGTGTGTTTGCTAATATGCACAAGTGGGACTCGAACTCGCTTTGGGAGAGTCGTTACATATGGCTACCCATGGAGATTGACGACAAGAAGAAAACGCTAGAGCTGGTTTGGAACGACGTCTACGACCTGAATGTGTATGTTTAGCCATCTTACACGAGGGTATACAAACTGACACGCGATAGCAAAACCGGAGAATGGAAACCAGTCAAAGGAAAGACCTACTACGGAAAGGATGCAAAACGTCCGGAAATGCATTCAAGCAAGAGGCAGTGAGTACCATTTCACTCCGCCGGACAGTCCACGCCTAACTCTATAGAACTTCGCGAGCGACAACACCATTTTAACCGGCATCTACGGCAACGACAGCACAGTCACGTTCGAAGGTATTGAAGGCACGGGCAAGCCGCAGTGGGTGTCATTCTACTACCAGAGTCAGTCCAGTCCGGTTCCTTGTTTGGAAAGAGTCCCACTAACAGTCTTCACTAGACACCGATGATATGGGATTCGGAGACCAACGTAAGCTCTATTCTCATATTCTGTCTTGGAATTGCTAACGAAACCTGCAGCTGGCGGATCCCCTGATCGCATCGGAGGCGAATGGCAGCTCCGACGCATTAGCAGCGTCGTAGTCAATGGCGACACTTCCAACGTCCAGACGCTCTATCAACGGGATACTCACAAGAGCATCATCCTCTCCACTCCATTGCAATTGACTCTTGAGAAGGGAAAGAAGAATACTATCACGATTGGTGGACTTTACAACGGGTTTGACTACAAGGGAGCAGACCTGGACCGGATCGTGGTGTATCCTCCGGAGAAATAGACTTTGCGCTGCACTGTATATTTGACAATATACTGATTAGCATAGATGAGAATAGCTAGTTTTTTCACTCAATTTAATCTTATTCGAGAATCGGGTTTCAGGTCCCAACATGCCATTGTCCGTCTGGGCCATAAGGTAGAATAGTACAAAGAATGAACCCGACATGTTTGGTTTTCATTGACCTACTAGGACACAGGTGGGGACTAGGATGGACCTGAATGACCGGGGGTTGCATTATAGTTCCCTCAGTCGTTGAGGAATAACGAAAAGCCAGGATGGCATGTGCATATTGTTGAGGTCGAACTTGGCTATGGTTGTTTGCGTATTTACGAGAAGGTCTAAATAGATATTGTGTTTGTGACCACCTTGTGATGGCGCTAAATTAGTTAGAGTGTGGTGGTTCTAAACGCCTCGTGTGGTGGATTGCTGATACTATATCTGGACGATTAAGTGATACTGGTTTCCTCTTAAGCGTGAAAAGATGCTGGTTCAGTCTGTGCCCATGGACCCCGAAAAAATAAACCTTTTTTCTTTGCCTGCTTTCCTCGCCTACTTAATACCTATATGTTCAGACCTGTACAAATCCATTAAGACATTCCAGCGTTTCTAGAACAAGAAGAACACTTTGTCGCTGAATTGCTCATAGAGCATCAACCTCCTGGGTCAGGGGATATCACCTTTGCTCAAAACACAACTCAACTGTGCTTGTCAGTACGCGCCTAGAAATGCCTCTACCAAAGGCTAAGTAAATTCTAATTCGAAGAAGAGATCCGAATAATCCCCCTCAGCAACAACGCAAGACATTACACAAAGCCGCCTACACCACCCCAAGACCAGGACCATGACGACCGACCCCCCCAACTACACCATATTCGACGCAATCCTCGACTGGGGCTCCACAAACGCACAACAAATCAGCGAAGCGCACCTCTCCAAAGGTGGCTGGGAAGGCTGGGCGCAAGAAGAGATGCGACTTCTCTTCAACGCCGGCCCGGAGGACAATTGCTACCAGAACAACGCGCGCCAAGCGGCCGACGTCGTCCTGACGCGGTACACATCCGGCGCGGAAGCCTTCGCCTAACCATATGTCGACGAGGAATGCGTGGTGATCGAGCTGAAATGCGAGAGTTATTGGAACGCACAAAAATTCCGCGGCGAGGTCAAGAAGGACATGCAGAAGGTTAATAGTGGGGTTTTTAAGGAGCGGTTGTTGCGGGGTGGTTGTAATGTGTATTGCGTTGCGTTGGCGATGACTGATGAGGGCGCCTATGATATGGAGAGTTTGGGGTTGGAGTTGTTTGAGGGTTTTGTGGCTGCGCCGTTTCAGGCTTGGGGGTGTGTGCGGCGGTTTGAGCTGGAGGATGTTAGTGAGGAGGAGGATGAAGAGGATGATGGGGATGGGGAGGATGGTGACATGCAGGAGGATGAGGTGGAATTTGATGGTGATGAGGCTGAGTCTGACAGCAATGGATATCAGAGTGGATATCAGAGTGGATATCAGAGTGGATATGGTAATGGATACCATGATGGGCACAATGGAGGCTGGGGTTATAAATATGCTTAGGTTTATATAGTGCACGGGAGATAAAGTCCTGGTGAGCTGAATAGCAATTGTAGTGGAATATCTGCTCGATATCTAGACATTCCTAAGATCATCTTTTGTCTCATCTCTTCTTAGACCAGGACTCGGTGCAAGTTGATAAGAGACCTCTTGCGCGACAATATATCGCATACCAGGCCTCGGGCCTCACCAAGTGAAGCATCGTGGCTAAGGATAATCCCACAGCAGTTGCCCAGAATATCCAGAAATCACTGGAAATTGTCAACCCACCCTCCTGTTTGACATCGAAAAAGCTCGTGCTGAAAATAGCTGCGACAGCTGACAAAGGTAGGTATATAACGGTTAACACCGTCATAACTTTGGCATTATAATCGGCGGACTGGGTGAGGCGCTGAGTAGCGCTTTGCAGGTCTTCATTGTTTATCGAAGCGTGCATGTCACACTGGTCGAGGATATTTTGAATTGAAAAGGTCAAATGGGACACTTTGGAATCAACGCAATATGTCCCTGCTGCTACTGCTCTGGGAGTATCTGGTGATACTGCAGAGGTTGGAAGTTCTTGCAGAGATTTTAATATTTGCGAGCACTCTTGAGCCATGCGCTTCGTAATCGAGAGTAATTTCAATGGCCTCCTGGTGGTAGTCAAGATCCGGGAACCATGGTCAGTAACTGCACCTGGTAACTGGTTTACCATATGTTCGATCAAGACAGTTGGGAGGAGCAAGGGGTGCCATGCGAAGCACCTCAAGGAGGCGAGGCGTCCGGCCAGGACACCGATGCTCGTCGCATCGCTGAGACGAACCACAGTAGTAGTGATGTTGTGGTTAGGATCATATTCCATTGAGAGGCAAATCTGGGCATATTTGAAGCACAGTATTACGGCCATTTTCCTGCCCTCGAGAACATATTTGATGAAAAAGGATCCATTACGGCATTGCAAAGGATCGCTGGGCACGTTGTGGACAACCCTAATCTCATCAAATACCTCGGGCGAGAATGGGAAGTGCGGTGCAAGATCAACCCCGCCAAGACTATCATCATTGGGATGTTGGTCAACATGAAGCTGGCGCGAAGAACTTGTGAATCTTACAGGATCCGAATGGAATTCTCTTGCTGTGGATGTTCGCGACCTTGTATCCAGGTTCCGGGCGTGTTTCCTGCGGCTGTTTGTTCGAGAGGGGATGTCGCTGATCCTTGAAAACATACGGTGTAGGAATGCTGTGGAGACGTTGGGTTTCCACGAATCTGGTCGCTCATCTGGAGTGTCATGGCAGACGTGATTGTGTGCATGGATACTTTTGCACAGGTAGTGTTGAATTTTTGACGTTGGACTCTATCCCCGCATATATTATAATTTCTTTCCTCTTTTTCATTTTTCTGCTTATCAGCCTTGCATCGCCTCAATGTGTTGGCGTACCGAGCAGGAATCAGTCGTTAATTCGTTGGCCAGAAACGCCTCAAGAGGCTTAGCCATTGCCAAGTGTAGTACAATCTGTTGACTGCGATATTGGTTCGACGACTTGTTTACATCGCTCTCATTGTAACCTTGTATATCCCCTTTTCTATCATACACATAGCTCAAGAAAAGAAGCCCGCCGGTCAAACTAGATATTTATTCTTGAGTAAAGTACATAGATGAATTCAATAATGGTAGTAATATTGTAAGAGTAACTAAACTAAACGACACACCACTATGATTAAACCCTAGTTATACTATGAACAGATATTTTACTGATATATATCAAAACCCATCGTCTTCTACAAACTTTCCTAATTTTTAATAGTCGTGAATGTAATTATCTTGGCTATTATATTACACTAGTACATGAATACGATACATGTACCTCCAAGGAACAGAGCATATCATATTTCCAAGACAGAGAGTTTAGAGTGGGAAATGATTGAAAACAGGCAGACTTGCATACTAAGGCCTTTACACCAGGCAACATTAACGATTTTGACAAATTTACCTTATCGCCAGCCAAACACCGTCACAAGTAGTGCGCATGATGGACTTTGCCCTGTACAAGCATGACATTTCTAACACTGAACGGACCCATCTGCTAAAGCCCAGACAGGACCTGAAACAGCATCTGGGTCAGGGGTGGTATTAAGTTTCTGATCCTTAAAGGCTTGGGGGACAAGGCCACCCATTTGGGGATTATTTTGTGGACTCAACAACTGAATGTTCGTAGACTTGTCAACATTGAAGGCTAGGTTTGTTTTGGGTGGAAGGTTGAAGTTCGAATACAACGTGCAGGTGCGATGGCCCGATTGAACAGACTCTGGAGTTGAGAACTTCCAAACATAGTTGGCACACGAATCGAGTCGTTTCAAGCACTCCTGGATGCAATCACATTCGTCTTTGACCTGTGGAAATTTGAGATCGACTTCAGTAGTAACACCGGTCACGTCAAATCCTCGGGTATATCGAATACAGCCGTTGTTAACGGTTTTCAGGCCCGGGCAGATCAGGGTTTGACTGGATCCCTGTTGATCGTGGACAGAGGCCGGATTTGCAGATGCAACTCCCACTAGAAGAGAGACGAGGAAGCTGGTAATGTATGTCATGTTCGGAGAATGCAGCGAATACAAATGAAGGTATTAGAAGCTAGAAAGAAAATGCAAAAGATTCCCGAAATCTATATAGGACGAGCGGGATGTGGTAAGAGACGACTTGGTCTATCGACTGCTTCGCCACTTCCCAAATAGCGTTTTGTGTTCCAGATGAACTGCTCAATCACCCAACCTTTTGACTTTGCGTAGTGCGAAAGCACCTAAAGTTTAACACAAGCTTTCTTGTAAAGCTTGGCCAGACTAATCTATATCTTAAAGCATAGTAACGTGCTTCAATCCACATACGTGACCCATGGCACGAATCCTTTCTGTGACAGACATGTTTATGTCAAACTTAGAGAGTTTAATTGTTAGGGCAGTTAATGAGGTTGGAGAGTTGGTCTTAAAATACATGCTTAAAATTCATATCTCACAGTTTTCAAATACATGGTCGATGAAATTATATGTCGACCCGTGCCACGGTGGGGCAGCCGATGGCCAGTCTAGGCTTGCTCGCCGTGTGATATATGGAGTGTAAGGTGCCTATTGAAGGTGTAGCATGGATCAGCTGAGCATACTGTGTACGCGGCTCGGAGTCCTAGCCGATGATGTTCGTTGGCCATCACTCTATTTATAAACATGTGGCAATTGGAACCATTTGTGAAAAGATCCAGCCCGGGATACCGCCAAAGAATACAGGTTTGGGAGGTAGTCACTTAATCAATCGCGCAAGAGCGACTGATCTACGCTATAAAATTGAGTTACTAGGTCGACTGGCTGTTGGCGATATAGTCATGTGGTATTGGATATTTACGATCCACGTCCGCTATCAGTATCAAATAGCAAGCTTTGGGCACTGCCAGGTCAATTCACAAGTCAACCAGGGGATCCTTGATTTGGATTTCAAGGCACGGAGAAAGAAGTTTGATTATCAAAGCCATGACTTGCAAATAAGGGCGACAAATGGCTCCATCCAACATATTATCTACCTTCTCATCGTCATCTTGCATGTGGCGGGCTCAAATCCCGCCACTTCTGAACCTAGCTGCAACCTCAAATGACTTCACATCTGGCCACCGATGAACATATCCATGGGGAAGGTGTCTCCAGGGGCAACATATAAGAAGCGGTTGCACAGGTGTTGAACACCTCACGCGAGAAACCCAAAAGGGACATAGCAATCTTTTTTCAGGAACCATAATACCCACCTCGAAGATTCTTTGACGCTATTATGTACGTTAATATAGCGTCTGCCACTCTTATAATATCTGCCTGCGCTGCTGCTGTGGCTGCTACAGCAGCCCACGTGCCCAAACCCAAACCATGTGGTACGTACACCACAGGCGAGCTCTGCACTACAGATTCCGCCTGTGAGTTTATCTGCGCAAACTGGTGTGCATATCATTGCAGTGGCTCTGCAACTTCCCCATATACATTCAAGTGCCAAAAGGGCTATTGCGAATGCACCTGTTACACATAAACGAGAACCAGTATGCAGGTAATCCTGCGTCTCACGAACATCCGGACAGAAGATTCGCAAAAGTGTGCTTGGGTTCGTTAAACGACCATTATGCTGTTAAATATTTCTTTTTCCAGGATAAGCTGAGATTGTCCCGCACTGCGAATGAGACATGTGATGTAACCAAGGCATATCTTTGCAGTTAGGGCACCGAGCTCTTGTTCATTAGCAGGCGTCAAAAAAGCTCGCGCACATTATTTCTAGGTCTCTTTACTTGAGGATGAATTTGGTGCTTAAGCGGATTTCCTATGTTTGACCAGATCAAATTGTACCATCCTTGTTCAAGATTATTTCCCTTATAAAGCGTAGCTCGAGAGGACCATGATTCTAGGCCTGGAAAGTCGATGGCTATGGAGGCAGGGCGTATGTGAGTTTCATGTAAGATCCAGTATTATACTCCACAACAACGTTCTTGAAAAATGGACAGGTGCTATTCTTAGAAACAGGATGGTTTGTCCCTGGTATGATATTAGTTGATGGATTCTCCCGAAGTATTATCGCAGTTGAAGAATGACTTGGAATTTTCAAGTTCAGAGTACAGATTCCTATAAGTATGGTAGACGGTAAATTGCGTCAGATTTGAACTTGAATTACTTTGGTAGAACTACCACAGTGACGCGAGTCAGAGGTTGGCTGCTCTACCAAATGATCCTTAAGGTATAATCGTGTAGTCCGGCTGAGAGGGCAACACTTGCGGCAATACCACGGAATTAAGTCCTATATAGACCTGTGTGAGGTTTCTTCAGGGCTGTGGCAAATGCTGAGATCGCTAGCATATCATAGTTTAGCGAGAACAGACAACCATCCCCTACTATCCCCTTTGACAAGCTCATTCTCCCAATAGTTCGGGTTGAATGCCAATTCGTTCAAGGGCTTGCGACGGTGGGCTCGGTGAAACAAATCCTTTTAGACTTTACCGTCAAATCGTCCGAGCGCACCTAGCAGAGTTGCATCAGCATGGTCCAACTGGGCAACATTAGGGGAGTTAGTCATACCTGTCTGGAAGATAATCAGGAATTTTCCATGCGTCAACCAGGCCGACGGCATGAGCTGTCGCACACGGTTCGGTAGCTCATCGAGATCGTGTTGCGAAACCGCCCCGGAACGGAAAACTACCTGGCTATTAGTTGACCAGCTGAGCGTGTCATGGGCGTTTCTTACAGTCGTAGGCCTGCGTTTCCATGTGAAAAAAAAAAGCAAATAGAAGAAACAGATCACGCAGCGTGTCCTTCGCAGGTTGGGGCAATGATGGATGATTTTGCAGGGTATCATGGAATATTTTGACTAGGAGTGTATGGGACTGGGCTAGGTTTGGTCCATCGGCTGAATCATTGCATAGAGTATCGTATCTGTGAGCAACTGTGATCAAATCCTCGTGCTACTATGACAAGATGCTCTACAGAAATATTTCAAAACTCATCGTCTTCTACAAACTTTCCAGATTCCTAATGGTCATGAATGTGATTGTCCTGGTTCTCACATTGCACTAGCACACTAACACGATACATGTACCATGTACTTCCAACCAACTTAGCAAAATATTGTCTCTTAGATAGAGATTTGAGACTGAGAAACGATTTGAAACGGGGGCATTGCCATACCAAGGCCGTTTTATCAGCCGTATTGTAAAAGTAAACACCCTAGGCTGAACGGGATCATTTCTTTGAGTTGTCTATCCATTCTTTGATCGTCATGACCTTCTTGGTGTCTTGGATATACGCAGTATTGCGGAAAGTATCGACTAGAAAAGACAAACGTTAGTATCAATCTACGCCAAGTAGACATCTTCCGCTTACCCTTTGCTTGCATCTCCTTCCAGCCCGTCACAACGTTATTTAGTTTGGATCGCTCCAGAGCGACGCCGCGAATAGTCTGTCCGAGGTCAATCTGGTTTGAAATAGAGCCCAAGTGGTCGCTCATTTGCTGCCAAACAGTGATGAGTGAGCCTAAGATCTCGATGGCAGGCCCGATCAGGTCGATGATCGTTTGCAGATCGGCCTGCAGAATCATGGAGTTAGTAGTTTGAAAAAGCAGCAAGGGAGAGGTTCTGATTCACCTTCATCCGGGTGAGATCGCCATCGATGGCCACGTCGGCCTTGAGAATTTCCTCGTCTTTTTTGATGAGGGCCTCGATTCTTTCAATAGCTTTCCGCATCGCAACTGCCTTACTTCCATAAATCGATGCTGTGGTAATGGCCGCAATGAAGCCGAAGATTGTACTGCGCGTCGTTCAGCGGTGTATGACTAGCAACCAAGGGCTACTTACCACCATGCATAGGTAGGGGTTGTAGAAGCCACAAGGACGTCTGCCAGCGAAAGTGAGCAACCATCGGCGATAATGGGATATTAGCGACCTACCGTGGTGGTACTCTTCCTGCGCCGCCCTCAAGTCATTCTGTGCCTTTTTAATTTCATCTCGTATCTTTGCAATTGCGCCATTTTTGTCAGTGAGCATTTTCTGTACTTTTCCAGCTTCACTGTCGAGGTCTCGCTGGTTTGTAGAGCATTTGCCTTTAAATGCGTTGAGTGCATCGCGCATCTTGGTGCTTTGCCCACTCAAATCCACAAGTTTGTCCTTGAACTCCCCCACGTAGTCCTTTACATCGCTGCCCTTTTGGTCAATTTGGTTCTTGTCTGCATTTTTCTTCTTCAGCTCATTATACTCCCCGATCAGCTTCAACAGCTGAACATAGAAGGCGCCATCTATGTTGCCTTTGCCACAAGCCTCCTCGCAATAATCTGAGATACGGCCCGCCAGGGTGACCATGTCTGGCCAGGTCTTCTGGCTGAATCCAGTACACTCGGTGTTGATCTGTTTTGAATCCAATGTTAGAAGAATTGGCGCCGCATGACAGTATATCTGAGGAATTACTCTTGAGTAAGTAACAAGAACATCGGACATCGCTTCCTTTACATCGGAAGGGATTGCGGTCTCCTCGATTTGCATCCGGGTGCAGTAGCTTTGCGTGCTAGTCGGTAGCAAAGCGCCGGTGTAGACGTACTGCATGAGCGACACCATCTTGGGATGAGAGAGTACAAAGACATCCTGGCTCTTGGGCTGGTCGTTGGGGGTTCCGTTGACTTTGACGATTAGATTCAGATCGGGCAGCCATTTCTTGAGGTCGGGATCTTCGGTGGCAGTCATGGTAGTCATTGTGACTGATGGATTGGATTTGTTTTGAGGAGAGCAGATGAGAGCTAGCAGAAGAATATGCTGTTCGTTGTTGGAACTTGAAATCGGCTGTAGGTTGGTGCTCTATATAAGGGTATCCCGAATGACCATTACTGGTAGAATCAAGTCCACATGCCTGGCAGCTGCCTTGATTCTGATCAGCCCCAATATCCCAAAGGTCCATACGCTATGCCCGATAAGAATCACCCCGAACGTCTCCGAATGTTGAGCGAGATAATCTCTCTGTGTTATCCGTGGTGATACTTGATTGGAGAGATTGAAAACCAACTCCCATACAGTCCCAACCTTCTAATGCAGCTTTCA